CACCATTAAGTAATTTGGTCTGGAGAAGATGAAAATACAAAATCCAATTAAAAGTAACAGGGAAAGACAAAGATTTGTAGAGGAATTCTCTGGCTGATGTGAACAGATTGTACAGAGCATTTATACATATACACACATTCTCTTTATATTTGTGTGTGCGTGTTCGCGCATAAACTAGAAAGACCCTTGATAAAAAGAAGGGAGCACCAGGCGCCTTGGCTCACGCCTGCAATCCTACCTACTCAGGAAGCTGAGATCTGAGGATCACAGTTCAAAGCCAGCTGGGGCAGAAAACCAGAGGTGGTGCTGTGGCTGAAGTGATAGAATGCTTGCCTTGAGCTGAGAGACACAGGCCCACAGTTGAAGCCCCACAACCGACAAAAAAAAAAAAAAAAGAGGGAGCTCAGGTCTCAGAACAGAAAGAGCCTAGAGAAGCCATGGGAAAGTATTTTCTTTCTCCTTCTAGGATTACAGGTGTGGGCCACCAGTGCCCAGCAGTGAGTGTTATGTTTTGATGTTGAGCTCTGCTCACAGCCAGGGGTCAGGACATACATAGGTGTATACTCAATCAAGGACAATACTCTTAGACTGTAAGTTTAAAAAAGTACTATTCAAAGCTAGCTTTGGACTAGGATAAATACACATCACTGGTAGAGTGTTGGCCTAGCATAGGCGAGGCTCAGGGTTCTGATGAACAGTTGTACTGCAAAAAAATAAAATAAATACTAATTTTTTTTTTTAAATAGTGTCAGTCTCATTTTTTTTTCTTGGTGGTATTTGGGTTTGAGCTCAAACTCAACCTCGAATTTCCTTGGCTTTCTTGCTTAAGGCTGGCACTCTACCACTATATTCCCATCTCCAGTCCTGCTTTTTTGCTGATGATTTTGGAGATAAGAATAGCAAATTTGGGGGGCGGGGGGAGGCTGGGAAGGGATGGGAAGGGGAAACAAAGGAGAAGGCTACAATGCTTGTTAAGAAATGTACTCATTATCTTGCCCATCTAATTGTAACCCCTCTGTACAGTATTTTCACAATAAAAAATAAGTAAAAATTAAAAAAATAAAAGAATAGCAAATTTTTCTGCCCAGGTTGGCCTCAAACTACATTATCTTCCAGATCTCAGCCTCCTGAAGTTAGAGTTACAGGTATGAACTACCAGCACCTGGCTTCAGCTTCAACTTTTAAGGACAACAAAAAATACCTGCAGGCAATGAAATATTTATGGATTTTATGTGTCTTTCAATACTTAATGGAAAGACATATCTCTACAACATGGGAGATTATGTTGACTCACCACATACTTAACTCCCTCCAGGAATCTCTGGTGGTATTGGGCATGTTGCAGTTCATCTTCAGGGTTGGCAGCAGAATAGATCATGCCGCAAGACTTACACATAGTAGTCCCAAAATGTTTTTGACCTGCATCCTGCAATTGAAGAAGAAAAAGTCCATATAAATATTTCTACAAGGGGCTGGGAAGGTGGCTCAGTGGTAGAGCACTTGCCTTGCATGCATGAGGTCCTGGGTTCGATTCCTCAGCACCACATAAGCAAAAAGAAAAAAGCCAGAAGTGGTGCTAAGGCTCTAGTGGTAGAGCGCTTGCCTTGAGCTGAAGAGCTGAGGGACAGCGTCCAGGCCCAGAGTTCAAGCCCCATGACCGACCAATCAAAAAAAAAAAAAAAAAAAAGCGCTCTATTATTTCTTCCTATACACACAGTCTAAGGAATAAGAATAAATCATAAGGGCTGGGAAGATGGCTCAGTGGTAGAGCGCTTGCCTTGAATGCCTGAGGCCCTGGGTTCGATTCCTCAGCACCACATAAGCAAAAAGAAAAAAGCCAGTAGTGGCACTGTGGCTCAAGTGGTAGAGTGCTAGCCTTGAGCTGAAGAGCTGAGGGACAGCACCCAGGCCCAGAGTTCAGGCCCCACAACTGGACCCAAAAAAAAAAAAAAGAATAAATCATAAAACTTAAATCATAAAACTTAGTCAAATGGCTTGGGTGTTGTGTTGGTGGCTCACACCTGTAATCTTAACTACTCAGGAGGCTGAGATCTAAGGATCCCAGGAAAGTCTGTGAGGCTCTTATCTCCACTAAACAAAACAACAACAAAAAGTGGAGCAGTGGCTCAACTGGTAGATTGCTAGTCTTGAGCAAAAGAAGCTAAGGATAGTGTCTAGGCCCTAAGTTCAAGCCCCAGAGCCAGCATTAAAAAAACTAGAAAAAAAAAAAACCACAACAAAACATTATTGTTAAGATGAACAGCAAAATTTAGAAAGCTTTTAAATGAAAGACCAAAAAAGTCTGTTTCAAAGAGAAAAAAGTAAAAACACAGGATTTCTATAGTAATTAATAGTATTTTTAAGTGGCTGGGAATGGCAAAACATTCTTAACTTTGCTTCAAGAATATAATTTTACATATAATTAATGGTACATGTAATTACATGATATGTGGTAACAATTCAGACAAGCACAGATAATTCACGAGTGCAGGAAAGTAGGAATAGCTGACTTTACAATTCCCTTCTCTCTAGGTTTATAGCTATTCCCATTAAGTTTCGCTGATCAGTAATTTTCTTATCTAGATATAACTCACCATCAGCACTGTAGTAAAATACGGCACTGCCCAGCAGTGTCTTCAGTGCCACCACTGCAGCAAATGTGGCATTTACAAACTCCAAATAGCTATTTCCCAGGTTAACAATGCTAAGATAAATGTCTGTCTTTGTATTGTACACATGAAAGCCACATGCAAGAGGAACTCTATTCTGAATTTACTTACAATGATGAGCTGGTCTTTTGTTTCTTTATTTGTATCTCTCATGTTCATATTTTTCTGAGCCTGTTTCAAGAAGTTAGTACTATTCATGGATGCCAAAGAAATCTGTTCTTCAGCTGTAGATCTTGAAATGAAAAGTTGACAAATAGTACGTAACAGAGAAACCTGAAGTGCATTCAGAGAGGGGCAGTAATTTGCACAAGGGAACCCAGTGTTAAGACTAGACTCCTGGTACTCTGACTTCAAGTCGAAGGAACTTTCCTCTATGGAATCAACTGTGCATACATAGCATCATTTTGCAAGTTGACTTCATTCCCCAAAAGAACTTTCTTTTTTGCCATAACAAATCCTAAGACAATACTTATCTATATTAAATATGAAGAAATTACCAGGTAACCCACAGCAAATAAGTAGATACCAAATCTCCCAGACAACCAGACACTGTATCAGGATCCAACAACTTTTCTTTAAGGCAATGAGTATATAAGTTCATTTTTTCCCCTTACAATGAAAGCAGAATCCCAGCATTAAAATTTTTAAGAGTATTTTTTTTTTCTGTGCTGGTACTAGTGCTTTAACTGAATACTATACAACAGCTGCTTCTTAAATGTTTTTCAAATGAATGAATATTAAAAAAAAAAAAAAAAAAAAAGCCAGTTGTGGTGACACAAGCTCAAGATCCCAGATACTTGAGGCACAGACAGAGGATGGAAGTTCAAGATCAGCTCAGGCAAAATTAAAAGATCATATTTCAAAATACAAATAAAAGCCAGGCACTGGTGGCTCATGCCTGTAATCCTAGCTACTCCGAAGGATGAGACTTGGGAGGATGATCCTCCTGGAACAAAAAGTTTGAAGCCAGCCTGGACAGAAAAGTCTGGAAGAAACTTCTTTAAGTCTGCAAGGCTCTATCTTCAATTAGCAAGCAAAACGGGACTAGAGGTATAGCTTAAATGGTTCAGTATCAGCTATGAGCAAGAAAGCCCAGAAAGAGCACAAGGTCCTGAAATTCAAGCTCTAAATCCCAAGTACCATGATGATGCACCTGGAGAATCTTAACCTACTTGAAACAGATACTAAAGTAATATACTATTAACACAAGTAACTATTGATTTCTGACATTTTGGGTCCTGCAAAGCATAATGTCACAACCAAGTCAGTGGCTCACACCAATTTTTTTTCTTTTTGGGCAGTCCTGGAGCTTGAACTCAGGGCCTTGGCACTGTCCCTGAGCCTCTCTGTGCTCAAGGTTAGCACTCTATCACTTGAACCACAGCGCCACTTCTGGCCTTTTCTGTTTATGTGGTACTGAGGAATTGAACCCAGGGCTTCATGCATGCTAGGCAAGCACTCTACCACTGAGCCACGTTCCAAACCCCAGTGGCTCACATGTGTAATCTCATAATAAACATAGCTCCTCAGAAGGCTGAGATATGAGGATCGTAGTTTGGAGCCAGCCCAGGCAGGAAAGTCTGTGAGATTCTTACCTCCAACTAAACACCAAAAAGCTGGAAGTGGAGGTGTGGCTCAAGTGGCAGAATGCCAGCTTTGAGCAAAAAGACAAGGGAGAGGTTGAGGCTCTGAGTTTAAGCTCTAGTATCGGTACACACATGCAAAATAAGAATAATTATCTTCTAGGTTGTTGTGGAGATTAATATCATAGATGCAAACTAATTGTTAGCAGCCAAGTATTATATGCTATCTTTCAAGACCATGAAGATCTTTACCATCTCTCAACTCTACAAAGTCTTACAAAGTTTCTATGAAAATAACTAATTTTATATCCTACTGTCAATATTATTCTTGTATTTCCCGTAGTGGGAAGTAAATGTTCTCCAAGTTAAATAGCATTAGAAGGAGAGGTCTCTGTAATTAACTTTAATATTAAAGCAAGAGCTGGGTGCTAGTGGCTCATGCCTGTAATCACAGTGATTCAGAAGGCCAAGAACTGAGGATTGTGGTTCAAACCCAGCCTGGGCAGGAAAGTCCATGAGACTCTTTATCTCCCATTAACCATCAGAAAACCAGACATGGCACTGTGGCTCAAAGTGGTAGAGTGCTCACCTTGAGGGAAAAAGCTCAGGGAAGAGCGCTGAGTTCAAGCCCTATAACCAACAAGAAAAAAAAAGCAAGAACAATTCCTACCTTTTTACACTGACTGAAGACACATTGAAGATGGGGTAGACAGTGGACTCAGGAGAAACTAGTAAGGAAAAAGAAACACAGCAGTAATTTTTATTACCAAATAAAATCAAAGTCTTAAATTGTAAGACTTAGAAGTTAATACAACCAAACCAGTCACAACTTGATTTGAGACATAATCAAGATACTGTGTTGGCAGAGAAGAGCCAAAAAGGTCAATGGGAGAAAATAGCTAGAAATAAATCCACATCGATTCAACTGATTTGAGCAAAGGGGCAATAGAAAAAAAAGACTTCAACATATGGTGCTGGACAGTCTGCACATCCCCAGGCAAAAAAATGTACATACTCACATACTACACAAAAACGAACTCCAAATAAATATCTGATCAAAATGTAAGCCGTTAAAGTGTAGAATAAAGTCTGTGTGGTGCAGGGCAAGCCAGAGATATCAATGAATGCATGCTCATGTAAGCAGATGAAGATACACAGAAACAATTATAGATGTGTACATATATATATATTTGGTTGATAAAATGCTAATTAATTCCTGTAAATACTTGTAATTTGCTAAGGATTGGGTAAACAATGATTCTGTAAGTTAATAGGATTTCAGACCCAAGAGGAACTTAAAAATTAAGGCTGGTGATTCATGCCTATAATCCTAGCTACTCAGGAGGCTAAGATCTGAAAGATCAAGGCTCAAAATCAGCCCAGGCAGGAAAGTCTATCAGACTGTTACTGCCAATTAATCACCCTCCCTTCCAGAAAGCTGGAAGTGGAGCTGTGGCTCAAGTGGTACAGTGGTAGTCTTGGGGGAAAGAAAAAGATCAGGGGAGGGTGGGGGGCGAGGGAGGATGGGATGGGAAGGGGAAACAAAGGAGGAGGCTACAATGCTTGATAAGAAATGTATTCATTATCTTGCCCATGTAATTGTAACCCCTCTGTACAGTATTTTCACAATTAAAAAAAAAAAAGATCAGGACCAGCACCTAAGCCCTGAGCTCAAACCCCAGTACTGGCATAATATAAAACATTAATATTATTTGTCATTTTAGAAGTTTCTAAGGATGGATTTCAGTCATTTCAGTAGCTTAAAAATTCTGTTCAAAACTGGGCTTTGCACTGTTCATAATAGCTAGGATATGGAAACAACCCAGATGCCTCACCACAGATGAATGGATCCAAAAATTGTGGTATCTATACACAATGGAATTATGCAGCCATTAGAAACGACAAAATAATGGCATTTGCAGGGAAATGGATGGAGCTAGAAGGAATCATGTTGAGTGAGGTAAGCCAAGAACGAAGAGACAAACGGTACATGGTCTCCCTGATAAGTGGATGCTAAATCCAAAATGTTAGGTGATACGACAAAACTAACAGGCCTTAAGAAACAAAGAACTCCCACTCATCTGGTTGAACCACTACTAAATATCGCCATGCTGCTGATCACATATATGGTATATAACATGTGAACACCATTATATGTTACAGACTGTGATAGACAATTTGCTCCAGGAAAGTTAGAATGAACTTTTGACTTTAAATGAGCATCATTATTCCACAATACTGTGAAATTCCGGAAATTATGTAATCACTTAATCACAATAATAAAAAAAAAAAAGAACCTGGGGAAGGGAGGGAGGGAGGGGATGGTAGGGGGAAAACAATGGAGGGGGTAACAATGTTCAAGAGGAAGTGTACTCATTACCTCACTCATGTAACTGTAACCCTCTGTATAATATCTTTACAATAAAAAATAAATAAAAAATAAAAAAAAAGCATTAAAAGTAAAACAAAAAACAAAAAACTGGGCTTTGTTCACAAATAAACACACATCATACACACACACATATACAATGTACATCTATACATACACACATATACATATATATATAAATTTTCTTTACTCCTCGCTCTTATTTTGGGTAAAACAATTATAAATGATTCTTACAAAGAGAACATTCAAATCTTGAGCTTAAGCAAGATCAATTAGTTAAGCCTTACTATTTTTTGGTTGGGTTTTTGTTGTTGTTGTTGTTCGGTCCTGGGGCTTGAACTCTGGGCTTGGGCACTGTCCCTTAGCTCTTCCGCTCAAGGCTAGCACTATACCACATGAGCCACAGCACCACTTCAGGCTTTTTTTGCTTATGTGGTGCTGAGGAATTGAACCCAGAGCCTCATGCATGCAAGGCAAGCACTCTACCTCTGAGCCACTTTCCCAGCCCCTTGTATACAGGTTTAACTTAAAAGCTCCTTTTTTCCTGATTTTCAAAATGGTCTGCATTGCTTTACCACAATATTGGTTACTAAAAAATGGGTACACTAATAAAAATTGGATCCAGAAACTATTATTACATATGAATTTCATATACAAACATACTAAGCATTATTACAAGTAGCTAAACTCCTATGAGAAATTTTACTTACTTGTCTTGTTTTCAACAGAATTCTCTGAAGGAAAATTGTTATCTTTATCAAGTTTATATTCCTTTGAAGAAACTACTGCACCAGATGAATCCTAAAAATAATGATGAAGTTAAAAAAAAATGTAAAGGAAATCTGTAATTCTTAGTCTTCTATTTAGTGAATTTTTTTTTTTTTTTTTTGGTCATGGGGCTTGAACTCTGGGCCTGGGCTCTATCCCTCAGATCTTTAGCTGAAGGCTAGTGCTCTACCACTTAAGCCACAGCATCACTTCCAGCTTTTTCTGGAAGGGCCTCATGTATGCAAGGCAAGCACTCTACCGTTGAACCAAGGGCCTCATGTATGCAAGGCAAGCACTCTACCATTGAGCCACCTTCCCAGCCCTAAGTGAGTGAATCTTAATAGGTCAGGTTCCAAAACATAGTTCATTATAATTCGGAAGATGTCTTCTGTATTAATTAATGTAAATTGCCTTTTAGAAGTCAAGGGTATTGGACACTTCCAAGTAGTGGAACGCTAGCCTTGAGCTGAAGAGCTCAGGGACTGTGCCCAGGCCCAGAGTTCAAGCCCAATGACAGACCAAAAAGAAAAAAAGAAAAGTTGAGTACTTATTAATACTGTAGTTTGTATTGTCAATTTATAGACCAAGATAACGACAATTAGCCTTGTGAAGATTAAAATGTGTCAGTGTCATTTCTCTGGGCTCCACAGTGTCCCTTTACCCTTTCTGATTCATCCTTAGAGAGCAGAGCCTATTTGTACAAATTTAAAATGCACAAGTCCAGCTTCTCAGGAAATAAGACAGAACTGAATAAATATCTAGCTAAATAATCAGCTCTTTAAAGCCCAGAAAATATTTATACATTTATTTTGGTGCCAGGACTGAGGCTTGAACTCAGGGCCTAGGGCACTGTCCCTTAGCTTTTTGGCTCCAGACTGGGCACTCTACCACTTGACCCACAAGCTCCACTTCTGGCTTTTTACTGGTAATTGGAAGTAAGAGTTTCATGGACTTTCTGCCCCAGCTGGCTTTGTGATCTTCAGATCTCACCCTCCTGAGTAGACAGGATTACTGATGGGAACTATCAGTGCTTGGCTAGAAATGGTGTTAACAGAGACTTAGTTATTTGTTTGCTGTATGGTGACAGGAATAACAATTGGGAGATGGACAAGGAAATTGCACTGTATCTCAATTTTTCTTAAACTGAGATAGATTCATATACAGTGAACTTGTTCACTATGTTATATGTTATTTAGATTGAAGACTTACTAGCCAGCACTTTTTGAAGTGATATACTTAGATTTCCTTACCTTTATTAATTCTTCTTTGTTCCTACTTCTTGAATGTTGTAGTTCAACATTCTTTTCTAGTAATGAGCATTTTGACATTTGATTCTTCACAAAAGTTTTTCTCTTACATATAACCTCTGAATCAGAATCTCCAGTTGTTTCTGTTTTATTTTTGTATGTGACTCCTAGTGATGGTTTATCTTCTGGTGACAATTTTTTAAGAGACATTTTTTTCCTAGTAATAAAAAATGCGGCTCCACCTTGGAGTGTAACCTGTGGTTTTACCTTTTGGCTTAGAACCCGAGGAGTATTTGGATTACTTTCAGCTAGGTAACAATTATATTCTTTCTTTACAACAGGTTTATTTGACATTTGATTTTGCTTGGAATTTCTAGAATCTGTTGACACTTCCTTGATGTGCGTAAAACGGCGTTGACACTTGACAGTTAAACTCTTTTGTGTTTTTTTGGTCTTCTTTTTGATAGAGACTGGTTTTCCCTGCACTTTTTCAGTCATAATGGGAATAGGTTTATCTTCACCATTAGTCTGCAGACAAGATCTACTATCTCTTATCAGCTTTCTCTCCAGTGGATTGAGGTACAATTTATCTTTGTTGTAAAAAGATATAGTAGACACAGCAGATTTAAATGGTGAGCTGTGATCTACAGATGACAATCTGTTTTTTGTAGTTGTTTTGTGTGGACTTGAAATCAAATGGTCTTGAGGAAAGCAGTGTTCTCTGTCTTCTTTTTTATCACCGTTCTGACAAGTGTACTTTTTTGTAGGTGATGGAAATAGACTTTCAGTGAGGTTCAAAATTAATTCCTGTGATGATATTTCTGATAACAGGCTATGAAAAGAAAGGAAGTCCATTGATAGGTTCATTATTTTATTATAAAACTTATGGAGACCTACTACTACACAAATTCCCTTTGTATCAAAAACAATACATATTGAAAACAAACATATAGAAAATCATACCAAAACAATACATCCCTCTTCATCAAACAGCTATTTAATAACAACTTATCTTTAACAAAGCATAGAAAATATCTTTCTACAGGAAGATAACAGTATTTACAAGAAGGCTTTGATATGTGTATGTGTTAATAAGCTATAAAAGCCAGGCTCCTTTCTTTTTTATTTTTGTGCCAGTAATGGGGTTTGAACAAGGCCAAGGTGCTGTTCCTTAGGTTTTTTGCTCAAGGTGGTGCTTTACCACTTGAGTCACTGCTCCACTTCCAGTTTTTGGTAGCTAACTGGAGATAAAGAATTACACGGGCTTTCTTGCCCTGGCTGGCTTTGAACCTTGATTCTCAGATCTTAGTTTCCTGGGTAGCTAGGATTACAGGTATGAGGCACCGGTGCCCAGCTTAAAAGCTAATTTATCTCTGGTATCACATGTAGTAATGCCGTAGTACAACAGTCCCCTCATCCCCCTTATCCACAAGGGGATACATTCGAAGACTTTTGGTGGATGCCTGAAAATACAGACAGAACCCAACCATACATATACTACACTTTCTATACATACCTATGCAAAGATTTAATTTATAAAGTAGACACAGTAGGAGATTAACAACACCAGGACACCAATTAAATGAATGCAGTTTCTCTCAAAAAAAAATCTTACTAGGGCTGGGAAGGTGGCTCAGTGGTAGAGCGCTTGCCTTGCATGCCTGAGGCCCTGGGTTCGATTCCTCAGCACCACATAAGCAAAAAGAAAAAAGCCAGAAGTGGCGCTGTGGCTTAAGTGGTAGAGTGCTAGCCTTGAGCTGAAGAGCTGAGGGACAGCGCCCAGGCCCAGAGTTCAGGCCTCATGACCGGACCCCCAAAAAAAAATGTCAAAAAATCTTACTATATGATCACTGTCTTTTCTAATATTTTCAGATCCAGTTGGCTGTAGGTAATGAAAACTTCAGACACTTCTGTGCACAAAACTTTGCTTACAGGTAAGCATTTATTCTATATTGGATATTACCTTAAGTATTACAGGAATGAGTGGAAGGAACAAGGAAATAAAAGATGGATTATTTCCTAGCCATAAAAAAAAAAACTAACTGGGCTGGGAAGGTGGCTCAGTGGTAGAGCGCTTGCCTTGCATGCTCGAGGCCCTGGGTTCGATTCCTCAGCACCACATAAGCAAAAAGAAAAAAGCCGGAAGTGGCGCTGTGGCTCAAGTGGTAGAGCGCTAGCCTTGAGCTGAAGAGCTGAGGGACAGCGCCCAGGCCCAGAGTTCAGGCCCCACAACCGGACCCCAAAAAAAAAACAAAAAAAAAAAAACTAACTATCCCAAAAGACTACATAATTTGTTGTATAAGCTTTTGTGTTTCCAAACTAGCACTAGAATATAGAATAATACGATAGCCACTAAAAGCAGACCTCAGATAAATGGAAATTTTAGGAGAAAAACAAGATAGCTTTTTTAAAATTTTTTGAAGTGTATGTGTACAGGATGACACTCACCTGTCACAGTTCAAAAAATTCTGCTTCCTCTTTCTTGGGGTGAACACTGCCATCTTCTTAACTGAACTCCTAAAAGCAACGGGTAGGTAAAAATAAACAAACTCATCAAATAGGCATAAAAATCACTAGGTCAATTTGTTCCAGATTCAAGAAAAAGGGACTTTTATTTTCTAATCCTTTCGCGTGTGTACCTATCAGATGCACACACGCTCGTTTCACGCTGGAAAGCCGTCCTGAGGCACTCATGTCAAGTGCACGGTTTTCTGGAGAACTCCATGAAGCCGCTCCCTGCTCCCTCCCACGGCTGCTCTCCACGGCACCCCAATTCCTGGACACCCCACGTAGCCGTCTCCGCAGCCTCCCCGCTCCACCAGAGCAGAGACCCCATTCGAGGGAGGATGGAGACGCGCACGGCCACCCTGCCGCCGTCCCGCCGGAGCGAGGGCGGCCGGGCCCGGTCACGCGCGCAAAGCTCACCCCCAACCTCAAAGCCAAGCCCGCAGGGCGGGCCGGGTCTGCGGGACCCCGCCGGGCTGGGCGAGGACAGCGCCGCCGCCGGCACCCAGGGGAAACCCGGGGCTCGCGAGGGCGGGGAGCCCACTCGCGGCTTCGGCCTCCAGCCCGCCGACCTGCCGGGCTGGGATAAACGCACTCTCCGCTTGACACTCACCTCGGGTCAGAGACTGTGGTTCCCCGCGGCTTCTCCTTGCAGCCCGGGCCCGGCAGCCGCTCCGTGCAGCCCAGACCCCTCAGACCTCTCCTCAGCCCAGCCAGACGCTCCAAGAGCATATTCAAATTAGCGCGCGCCAGGCCACACAGACGCTGCCGCGTTCTGATTCGTCACCGCTCAGAGACTGGCCCTCTGATTGGTCACTCCTTGCGCTTGCCCCGCCCTTCCGAGAGGGCCGGCTTAGAGGTTCTCGCGCCCTTAGGAGGCAGAAAAGATTTCTCTGGAGGGAGTGGGGGAGGGGGAAGCTCACCTCTGTCAATCTCCCGCAGCTTGGCCCGCAGACTCCACTTCCCCCAGGCCTTTTAAGGTGCATTCTGGGAATTGTAGTTTTTGGAACGGATGGACATTCACGGGTAGAGGGTGTATGAAGCTTTTTGTAATCTGAGATTCTAGAGGCACTTCTTTCTGCACATTGGATGTTCGACGGTACCTTTTTTTTTTTTTTAAATGAGTGATACTTCAGGTTCCTATTTCCACGTATGTTTTATGTTGTAAAAATTAGGTCAGGGCATGAGTGTCTGCTTGATCCGAGCATTCTCAGCTGTTTCATATAGTTTATTTAGTCCTCCTCACGGTGAGGTATATAGTATCATTCCCATTTCGCAGAGCATAAAGCTGAAAACAATGATTATTTATGAAACAGTTTCTTACGTGGGGAAACATGACTGTTCTTTTTTTTTTTTTGGTCTGGTCGTGCGGCCTGAACTCTGGGCCTGGGTGCTGTCCCTCAGCTCTTCAGCTCAAGGCTAGCACTCTACCACTTGAGCCACAGCGTCACCTCCGGCTTTTTCTGCTTATGTGGTGCTGAGGAATGGAACCCAGGGCCTCAGGCCTGCAAGGCAAGCGCTCTACCACTGAGCCACCTTCCCAGCCCCCACATGACTGTTCTTAAACTATGACCCCTCGGTTTTTAATTACTGTTGTGGTTGGTCAGACTGAAGTGTCGAAAGACAGAATTGCACAAAAAATTAAAGATCTTACTGGCTTTTATTAAGGACTTAATAGAGGAAGCTTCTCTTCTGTAAGAGAAGAAAAACTCCTGTTGGGCACTAACAGAACAGTGGATTGGTGATAAGGAAGAATGGGAACAATAGGAAAAGCACAGGTTGATAGCAGTTTACCTCAAGGGACTTTTTTGGTAAGAGTTAAAATGTGAAAGACTTCTCTATTGTGCAAATTCAACTAGACTGAAATTCCCCATTTTTAGAAAAGACTGCTGTGTTTTAGAACCTGTTGTTTCTTTAAAGCTTCGGTTTGATTAAATGGTATTTAGCATGAGCGACTCCATTTTGACTTGATCTGGTCTATTGGGGCCTACTGGAAGAACTCTGTCCAAAATTATGGGACCAGAAGTAAGAAAAGTAACCAAGTCAAAACTTAGTGCTGGAAGTTTGTAATGAACTTTATACATATTCTACTTTATAGCAAGAGGGCCTTTGAGGTTCTGAGGTTTATGTTTACCCAACCTTATAGGTAAGAGATGTGTACTTTAGATTTCAAGGTAGAACAGTTTAACAACAAACTCTTCAGACCAGCATTTTACTGGCTAGCAACTCAGTTAACTGCGATCTTCTAAATTTTTGATACCTACTAACTTACTTAACCTTAGCAAAATACTCTGAGTTTAGTACTCCATTTTTATTGTTTGGCAGATGAAATTAATATACCTAACGTACACCTTTGAAGGATCCTTCCCATCCATCCCAGGGAACCACGCAGAGGCAGGCAGGCACGGGAGAAAGATGATTATAAGGGTTATTAGACATATATGGAAAAAGTAGAGTGGTATGTTCCAGAAAAAAATTATTAAATAGGTTGGAGTGACTCCGCAGTTAAGTGTCTGCCTAGCAAGTGCAGGGCCCTGAGTTCGAATCAAAACAAATAACCAAAACACCTCTGAAACAATTTTGCTTATTAAAACATGGTAAGAATAACGTGTTCAGCACCACTGAAGCAGGGCGAATGCGATCAGAGTTGTTCACTGGAGGAGAGGCCTAGCGCACGGGCAAGGCCCCGTCCGTTATTACCGGGCAAGGCCCCACGGAAGAGCGGGACTCGCTCCGCTCGCAGGAGGTGGTGGGAGGGTTCCGGCGGCCCCAACTCGGCCGAGATCTTTTCAACGCTGGGTCTGACTAGGAAATGCCCGGGTGGATTAAAGTCTGGCGAAGCACACAAAAAGGCTTTGTCACCGCGCGGAGGAACGTGGGCTCATTTAAAACTCAATGGACTCCTACTAAGTGCTCGTCCGGTGCTCGGCAGGGGACTTCCGGCGGTGAACAGTCCGGAGCAGTGAGCGGCGCCGGAGGCAGTTCCCCGCGGCGTCATTACTTCCACTGTAGTGGCGGCGCGGGGTTTGAACTCAGGGCGGCGTGCTCGCAGGCAGGCGTTCTACCGCCTGAGCCGCGGCCCCGGCCGGCCACCACCTTCCCCGGCAACAGCTCGCGCTCCCCCACTTCAAATCCTCGTGTTCCCGCCCCAGGATTAAAGATGGCGGCGCCGGACGGCGTTGTGACGTGACACGACGTAACCCGGAAGTGCACGCGCGGCTTCCGGCGGGCGGCCGTCGCGGCGCTTGTGGCACCGGGAGCTTCAGGATCCGAGTCCGGCTGTTGGCGCGGGGTGGCGGAGCGGCCGCCGGGACCATGGTGTTCTACTTCACCAGCAGCGGCGGTGAGTGCGCGCCGCCGCCGCCGCCCCCGGCCGGCCCGCGTCCCCGCCGCCCCCGGCCCCGGCCCGCGTCCCCGCCGCCCCCGGCCCCGGCCCCGGCCCGCGTCCCCACCGCCCCCGGCCCCGGCCCGCGTCCCCGCCGCCCCCGGCCCCGGCCCGCGTCCCCGCCGCCCCCGGCCCCGGCCCGCGTCCCCGCCGCCCCCGGCCCCGGCCCGCGTCCCCGCCGCCCCCGGCCCCGGCCCGCGTCCCCGCCGCCCCCGGCCCCGGCCCGCGTCCCCGCCGCCCCCGGCTCCCGACCCCGGCCCGCGTCCCCGCCGCCCCCGGCCCCGGCCCGCGTCCCCGCCGCCCCCGGCCCCGGCCCCGGCCCGCGTCCCCGCCGCCCCCGGCCCCGGCCCCGGCCCGCGTCCCCGCCGCCCCCGGCCCCGGCCCGCGTCCCCGCCGCCCCCGGCCCCGGCCCCGGCCCGCGTCCCCGCCGCCCCCGGCCCCGGCCCGCGTCCCCGCCGCCCCCGGCTCCGGCCCCCGGCCGCGGCCCGCGTCCCCGCGGCGACGAGCCCCTCTTCCCGCCGCCGGTCGGGCCGTCCTGCGGCGCGGGGTGTGGCGCGGGGCCTGCCGGGGCTGCACCGGGGATCAATTCCGAGCCCCCTAAGTTGTGAGGCCTCCCCCCCCCCCCCGCACCCCCCTCAGGTCCCCCAGCTCCCGCGGCCTCCTCCGGCTGCACCCGCGGCGTTCCCCGGCTGAGACGCGGGACACCCGGCACGGCCTCGGAGGAGGGCCCGCCCCGCCTCCCTGCGAAGCGCCGGAGAGCCGCTCGCCGGGAGGAGTGAAAAGCGACCGGCCTGGGGGACAGGCGAGCAGCGCTGCGTTTGAATGACCGGGAAACGCGGCCACGCCGTCCGGTCCCGAAGCTCTTCCCGTTAACCCTTTCTCCCCTGACATAGCTCTGGCCTCGGTAGTGTAGGTGCACACCTGTGACGCCCCCAGGGGCCCTCCTGGCCGCCGTAGGTGTCAGCTACATGGGGGCAGGGACTCCTGTGGTCTGTTCTAGCAGGATTTCGTTCTTATGACTGCCACTTCCGGGTGCATGGAGTCAGGTTTTTTGCATGAGCTAGTTTTCAACCTTGGTCCTCCAGGTCTCAGCCTCCCGAGTTACAGGCACCTTATTAATTGATGGATTGATTTTTAGTGGCAGTATTAGGATAGGGCTTGACCTCAGGGACCTTGCATTTTGCTTAACGTTCTTGCTCACTGCTGGTGTTCTACCATTTAAACCATGTATTCAGGCTGGAAAGATAGCTCAGTGGTAGAGGGCTTGACTCTCATGCATGAGGCCCTCGATTTGATTCCTTAGCACCACATAAGCAGAAAAGCCGGACGACATGGTACTGTAGCTCAAGTGGTAGAAGGCTCTTGAGCTGAAGAGCTGAGGGACAGCGCCCAAGTTCAAGCCCCACAACTGACCAAAAAACAAACGTATTCAATCTAGCATTTTACTGGTTAGTTGGAGTCTTGAAGTCTTTTCTGCCCTGGGTGACTTTGAACCACAATGAGTAGCTAAAATGGCAGGCTTGTGCCACTGACATATCCTAGCTATTTTAATTATTTTTTAGATCCCTTTTGCTCCAATTGCAAACCTTTCTGTGTACTTTATAAGCAAGTGACCTAATGTAATTTGATACTCATACATCCAAAGTTGTGCATATAAACATGTAAATGTGCATGCACACCATGGCATACTAATTCAGTTTTTATAAGCTGAATCTTAATATATTTAGATGCACAAAATGCCATTTTTCATACAATGGGTGTGTAGTATTTCATTTATAGCTGTCTTACAGTCCTCTGTAAAAATGTTTTTATTTTAAAGGTGATGTATAGACAGGTTACAGGTACATAAGTCAGGTAAAGAGTACATTTCTTGGGCTGGGAAGGTGGCTCAGTGGTAGAGCCTTGGCTTGCATGCATGAGGCCCTGGGTTTGATTCCTCAGCACCACATAAGCAAAAAGAAAACCAGAAGTGGCGCTGTGGCTCAAGTGGTAGAGTGCTAGCCTTGAGCTGAAGAGCTGAGGGACAGCGCCGGGGCCCAGAGTTCAGGCCCCACGACCAGACCCCCCTCCCCCCCCAAAAAAAAGTACATTTCTTTTTGGACAATGTCACCCCTTCCCTTTGTAAATGATCCTTAGGTTGTAAGATGAACATCATTGTTTGGGGGAATATTCAATAAAGCATTTCAAAATTGTAGAATTGCAGTAGAATTAGAGACTAATAGATGTAATTAATTAATAATAGAATTATATAAAAAGACGTGCACATGAAGAATTTACAGTGGACTAGACTGTGCTTACAGAACCTGAAACACTCATTCCTACCCTTTGGCATTCATTCTCACGGCCTTTTCAGCCTTCATGTGAAGCTGTGTTGAAGCTAAATGTCCTTGTCAATGAGTCAACCCACATCTCCTTTCAAGTTAGGTCTCTCAACTTCCAAGGAATTATGGACTTGGGTCATTGTCTTACCCTGAGGGAATCAAGAATCTCCCGCCCCAAGGAAGGCCAAGAGAATAGACAAATAGAGAAGTTTCTCTTTACTGAAGGTGCAAGCATGCCTTTATTTAAGCATTTATATGAAAATGCTGCTCTCTGGTCTTCTGACCACATATGTACTAGTGTGTTCTGTTGAGTGGTGCAGACTTTATAATACCACCAGCTGTTGTGCTTTATAGACTGAAGACCCATTCACAGGTTTAGTTTCCATTGGGGCAGAACAACTTTTGGTAGACTAGCTTGGCAACCTAGCACCTAATTTACACTTTAACTCCTAATCCTAACTTTGCATTAGAAACATCTAGAAAGCTTTGAGAAAACCCAAAGGCTTTCTGCCTCACCCCAGACTTTTGGGATTAGTTGTCTGTGGTAAAGCTGGGCACAATCAGGTGGTTCTGTTGTACTTTTTTTTTTAAGAAGTTGGGAGCGGTGGTTTAGGAAGTAGAAGAGGATTTCCATTAAGTGAAGAACACTGAACTATTAACTGATAACAACTAAAGAGATTAGGCAAACCAGAAGTTGACTAATCATAGGAACCTCTTTTAAACTGTTAGGATGTAGTCTGTTTTTAACTCTTGAAGAAGGCAGAGGTAGATTGACCTAGAATTGCCGTGGGGCTGAATCCTAAGGAAGCCAGAGAGGAGGGGCTGGGAAGGTGGCTCAGTGGTGGAGTGCTTGCCTTGCAAGCACGAGGCTATGGCTCAAGTGGTAGAGCGCTAGCCTTGAACTGAGGAGCTGAGGGACAGCGCCCAGGCCCAGAGTTCAGGCCCCACAAACAACATTAAAAAAACAGGAGAGGAGTCATATTTAGCAACAAATGGGAAACTTCTTTGGGGGTTGGAGTAGGGGTTAGAAGTGAACGATTAGGCTCTGTGAGCTCTGTGGCTTAATCTTCGCTTTTATCTGCCTTTAAAAAAATGTAAAAGGTAAAGAGTATTGAGGGTTTATACCTATAATCTTAGCTATTCAAGAAGCTAAAACCTGAGACTCTCATTCTCAAATCCAATTAACCACCAGATGCTGGAAATGGTGCTGTGGCTCAAGTGGTAGAACATTAGCGTTGAACAAAACAGCTCAGAGACAGCAGGCCCAAACCCCAGTACCAGCACCAAAAAAAAAAAAAAAAAGGAAGTCATTCTTGACTTGAAAGCTGTCCAGAAATAGGTTGTGTTTGGCTGAGTTTGGCCTGGTGGGCTATGGTTTGCCGATCTCAAATCCCATAGTTTGTTTCTTGTTTTTCCCATGAGACAATATTTTGGTAATGAAGTTAACTTTTGTTTTCTTTTTGTTTTGTCTTAGTTAATTCATCTGCTTACACTATATACATGGGAAAGGATAAATATGAAAGTAAGTTTTCAAAAGCATTTGATTTTGAGATTTCCAACAGGTAAGTGCTGCCTCCCACAATTGTTGGGTGAGTTTAATTTTTAATTCTTAAAATTTACTTGACCAATAACTGCACATATGTTTTAATACATACATACATTGTATATTCATCAAATATGTGTATCTGGAATGTTTACCATCTCAGACATCATTGTTTTGTAGTAAGAACATTCAAAAATCCTCTCTTGTAGCTGTTTTGAGTTACACATTATTATTTTGTTTTGTTTTGTTTTTGGGTCCGGTCGTGGGCCTGAACTCTGGGCCTGGGCACTCTCCCTCAGCTCTTCAGCTCAAGGCTAGCGCTCTACCACTTGAGCCACAGTGCCACTTGTGGCTTTTTTCTTTTTGCTTATGTGGTGCTGAGGAATCGAACCCAGGGCCTCATGCATGCAAGGCAAGCGCTCTACCACTGAGCCACCTTCCCAGCCCCACACATTATTATTTTTGGGGGGATCCAGTCGTGGGTTCTGAACTCTGGGCTTGGGCCTGTGCCTCAGCTCAAGGCTAGCACTCTACCACTTGAACCACAGTGTCACTTCTGGCTTTTTTTTTCTGCTTATGTGGTGCTGAGGAATCAAACCCAGGGCCTCAAGCATGCAAGGCAAGCGCTCTACCACTGAGCCACCTTCCCAGCCCAAGTTACACATTATTAAGCGTATTCACTCTGCTGTACAGTAGAACACCAGAACTTAGTTTTCCTGCACTATTATAATTGTCCTAATTGCTCACCCTCTCCCATCCCCTCTCTCCATACTTCCCCAGCCTCTGGTAACCTGCACAAGTTCGGGTTTTTTTTTTTTCATTAAAGAAACAAAACAAAACCTTTATTGTCAAATTGTCACATGTTTGAGAGTAAAAGAAGGAATTATTGGTAACTCCAAGAGCACATCTAAACAATAAACAATCTGTCTTAACAGTAAGTAGTGTATAGGATTCTCTCTTTCTCTCTCTGTCTCTCTCAGTCTCTCTTTCTCTTTCTCTTTTTTTTTTTTTGGTTGGGCATGGGCCTTGAACTCAGGGCCTTGAGCGCTGTCCCTGAGATCCTTTTGCTCAAAGCTAGTGTTCTACCACTTTGAGCCACAGCTCCACTTCCAGTTTTCTGATAGTTAATTGGAAATAGTGTCTTATGGCCTTTCCTGCATGGGCTGACTTCAAACTGATCCTTAGATCTCAGCCTCCTGAGCAGCCAGGATTACAGGTGTGAGACATGGACACCTGGCTGACTAAAGAATTTATGACTGACTTTTGGTATCACCTAATGGTGAAACACTCCATGGTTTATTAATGCTTGAATTTTAGGTTTCTCCTGGTAATGTTCACTCGTTTTCTGGTATCCTGATGTGGAGGAAGCGGCTGTCTCCCTGAGGTCCACAGAGCAGTAAGCCACTGCAGCAAGAGTCCTGGATAGCTGCACTAGAAATCAGTGCACAGCTGCAGTATGCACAGTGCAAGACCCCCCCATGTTTCCTCCTGCGACATCAGGGGTGGGGATCTGAGCCTTCAGCAACAGAAGTGCCTACAGCCACGCTGCCACATACAGTTGTTTAGGTTTTACACTGTGCAGCTTGGGCGATATGGTTTTACATCTTATAGTGAAAGGCTGGCCTGTTTCTGGTTTACACTGGTGGCTAGCAATTGTGTGAGTGACATTCCTACCATTCCTCTTTTCCTTCTGCATTGGTATGCTGTTTCCTGGCTTCTCTTTGTGGGAGCCGGTGCCAGCTTTGAGCTCTCTGGACTTTCAGGGTATTTAGGTTTGACTCATACAAAAAGAAGTTTGTGTCAATTTTATTGTGAACCTAACACCTCTCCAAAAATACATTTTGCTTCTAAAATGTATGAATATTTTGTTTGTACTACAGAGATTTTTTTTCTTGTGGCGAACAGTAGTATTAGTATTTTTCCTTAAAGTGACAGGCATAATTCATTTTTTTTAAATGTTGGCAAAATTTCAATCATTGTGTTCTCTCAAAGACATTCTTTGATGTTAAAATGGTGTTCCGTGAAAAAAAGCAAAATGTATGGACAAGATTAAGTTAATAGGCGCTGTAGAAGGAGAGGGTCAAGAGGTAATTGATGAGGGCGCTGAGCTGAGGAGGCTTTTGCCAGACGGATGCGGGGCTGGGTCAGCAATTGTGGGGATTGGTACTGTGGAGACACATGTGGCCATGGGGTTGTCAGCAGGGGTAAGTCTGCTTGGTACCTCTAGGGCTAAACTTTGCTGTCATGATTGTAGGTGGGTATAGAACTTAACTTTAGAAGTCTCCATTGTTATCTGAGCTGTCTGTCTTTTCCTATCCCCCTGTTGGAATGAGCCCTGCAGTCTCCAAACTGGATGTACTTTTTGTGTATCACATGGATTTCTAATCGTTCTGACTTTCAAGAGTGGATTGAATGTAAATGCATTTTAAGAGGAAACCATTCGCATAGCTCAACAGCCAGCAAGTCTGTTCTTTTCATAGCCAGTAGGTGTCACCAGAGAGCCACACATTGCACATTGAGATGTTCCTGTTTTGACATTTCTTTTTCTGTTACCTGCTGTGTTGCTTGTTTGCTCAGCTTTCCAGTCAAGCTAGTTGAAAGCCCCCAGAAAATTCATGTCTACATCTGCTGATACTGCTTTTACCCAAGACTGGTATGCAAACACCCCATTCAGGTTATATAGACTATACTTTCTTGGGTGCATTGGGTGTGTGTGTGTGTGTGTGTGTGTGTGTGTGTGTGTGTGTGTGTGTGTGTGTGTGTGTGTGTTTATAGACTATACTTTCTTGGGTGCATTGGGTGTGTGTGTGTGTGTGTGTGTGTGTGTGTGTGTGTGTGTGTGTGTGTGTGTGTCAGGCTAGCCTTGTCCCAAGACTGGTATGCAAACACCCCATTCAGGTTATATAGACTATACTTTCTTGGGTGCATTGGGTGTGTGTGTGTGTGTGTGTGTGTGTGTGTGTGTGTGTGTGTGTGTGTGTGTGTGTGTTTATAGACTATACTTTCTTGGGTGCATTGGGTGTGTGTGTGTGTGTGTGTGTGTGTGTGTGTGTGTGTGTGTGTGTGTGTGTGTGTCAGGCTAGCCTTGTCCCAAGACTGGTATGCAAACACCCCATTCAGGTTATATAGACTATACTTTCTTGGGTGCATTGGGGGGTGTGTGTGTGTGTGTGTGTGTCAGGCTAGCCTTGTCCCCCCTTCCTTATCCTTGTTAGTACTGGAATTAGAGGAATATATCACCATGCTCAGCCTTTCATTACATTTTAAAACAATATATAAATATTTTACAAATTCTGTTTATGATTCTTTTTTTTTTTTCCTTGGTTGGTCCTAGAGCTTAAACTCGGCCTGGGCATAGTCCCTCAGCTCTTCAATTCAAAGCTAGCACTCTACCACTTGAGCCACAGCGCCACTTCCAGTTTTCTGGTGGTTAATTGGAGATAAGATTCTCATAAACTTTCCTGCCTGGGCTGGCTCTGAACCAAGATCCTAAAATCTCAGCCTCCTGAGTAGCTGGGATTACAGGCGTGAGCCTTCAGCACCCATTCTGTTTACAGTTCTTAAATTGGTGTATAATACTTACATGTTAAGCATAATAATTGCAAATTATTAATGTGCTTATTAGAAGTATATTACTAGTATGATGTTTCTGTATTGTTTCCAAAGAAGTTTGTAAAAAATTATCTGACAGGTCAATAAAAAATAAAACAAAACACCTCCTCTTCTTTCTTCCCCCTCCCCATTCCTCACTCCACCCCCCCCCCCCCCCAGGGTTGGGACAGGGTGCTATCCCTGAGCCTCTTTGTGCTCAAGGCTAGTGCTCTACCACTTTAGCTACAGCACCACTTCCAATTTTTTCTGAGTAGTTTATTGGCCTGGGCTGGCTTTGAACTTTGTTAGATCTCAGCCTCCTGAGTAGTTAGGATTATAGGCATGAACCACAGTGCCTGGTTTTTATTTTCTTTTTATATGTTCTATATTTGTGCTACTCCTAATTTTCTATAATTATTTAATCAAATCATTTTTTGTGAAGAATTAAAGTACAATACATAATTTTTAAATTTTAGGCAAACCATTTTATCTTTGAGCTTTGGATTAGAAGTATAAAAATGTTTATAGTTTATCTCATTTAGTTGTAAAAATTATTTTTACTTTTCGGTATTTTCAAGCTGTAAAACTTCCTTTATTCACTTCTGTTGTTACAGCAGATGTAAAAGAACTTGCTTTTTCTCCCCATTCCAACTTATAAATCCATCTTCATCTGATGACTTGCCTTTCCTCCCTCACTCTTTCCCTCTCTCCCTTTTTTCTTCTTTAGATTTTTATTTAAATAGTTATAAATTTATGAACAAAATACCTCGTGATCACAAAGGCTCTCCCTGACTTTGTTCTCTTGTATCTCACTGTAGACGAAGATCTGATAAAGTATGGCTGGCCAGAAGATATTTGGTAAGTAACAATTTTGGTTCTGCTTTCTTAAATTTGGCCAACCACCTGCCTCCTAATGATGCAAACTAGAACATGTGAATGCTAATTATGTGTATGGGTATCCAGTGGCAAGTAGTGGCTATTTTCCTGCCTTTATATTTACTGGGTACATTGACAAGATTGTCTTGGGGTTTGATCTCAGGTTGAAGATAGAGGCCCTCAAAGGGAGCGGTGAACCAACTAGACCAGGCAGCCATGTAAATGGGCTGGTCTGACTAGGCCTCTATTTGAAAGACACTCATGCTGCCTTCCCTTTGTCTTCTAAACCCTTTGTGAGTTTAGCCCTGTATTGATCTGCTCCACCCCTTTTTTCCAAAATAACTTGAAATTGTTGTAACAGTTTTCTTCCACAGTAATTTATTTTACTGTTCACTAAACCCAATACAGAAGAAAATAAAAGAACAAAAAGACTTTTTCATTTTAGTTGAATTATTTCTCTTTCTAGTCATCTTAGAAACTTGTATTTCCTACTTTGCAGACCAAGGCCCTCTGATGCATGCATGGGCTTCTGGTACTTTCTGTCACCTAATCCAGTCTCATTAAGTTGCTCTCTTTCTGTTATCATTGCCATTTTACTCTGACCTGTGTTTAGTGGTGCTTGGTCTTCTCAACTTGAAACACTCTCCACCCAAGTTTAGCCATACAGATAAATCCTCAGATTCTATTGCTTGGCTGTGACAATATTAATGACCATTTTTCAAACATTGAACTGTCTGCCAGATATTATCAAGTGTTTACCTCTGTTCATACATTAAATTTCTCCACAAGCCTGTGAAGTAAATATGGATACTATGCCTTTTTTTTCAGGTGAGGAACTGAGTGAGTCTGCTGTCTGCTTGTCTCTGGCCACCGCTCTGGTTCTGCATTACTGCTTTTTCTTTTGCCTGCAGATCACTTCCTTTTCCCCTTGGTTGTTGAAGCAAGCGCCAGCCAATACATTTGCTGACTTTCTGACTAGCTCTCTGCCTTCTTCCAAAGGATCCATTGAACAGTTCTGTGCAGCAGTTGCTTTCTGGTTCTCTCCCAACTGAAACATTTGTACTTGTCTTAAAGTTCCAAAGATCTCCAGACTCCATAAAATCTCAGTGACTGCATATGAAATCATTATCTTGGCTGTGCATTTTGACATAGCAGATTTGAAGTATAAACACCTGCATAGGAAAGGTTATGACATGAAATCAGCTCATCACAACTTTTTAACTTGTTTTCAAATTAAATACATGGAGCTGAAATTTCTAATTTGCAACCTATGTTCAATAAATTTTTACTTGAATTTTAAATTTCATTAAGCTTAGAACTCACAAAATGGCTGTCTACCGATAGCTACAGACCTGTCTTGATACTTATGGTCTCAAGCTTAATGACTGGTTTAGATGCTATCAATTTTTTCTTTCAGAAGTTATTTGAGACCTGATTGAGCTGGAATAGGTCCAAGCCTCCAGGCAATGTGGTTCCTGGACTAGCTGTGCTGGCAGTCTTCCAGCTAGTGCTGAGAAAGGCTGTTGAGTTGATCTGCATTCTGGGGTAGATTTTTAACCTGGGTCACTGACAGAATTTCTGGGACTTTCTTTACCTCTTTGACTGCCAGCATCTGAGCTTATCTTAAAAAGCCTGCTGAGGCTCCTTTGAGTGAGGAAAAATAGAATTAGTGGGCCTTCAGAGCCTCCATGCTTCCTAATGAGTAGCACTTTCCCAGAGCCCCCTGAGGAATTAAGCCACCAACTTCTGGGGCTCTGCACCTGCGTGCTCAGCCGTGCTGTTCTAGTGGAGCTTCTTAGTCATTACTAAAGGGAAATGGATCAAGCAGAGACAGGAACACAGGAACTAGGCATAATCTTTGAATAAATTTTTGGGAAATTTGAGAAGGAATTTTCAAGGAGATTTGCTTGAAATAGTTTGTTTTAGAGCTAGATTTTTAAAAATACATTCCAATTACAGCACCATATATGAGTCATCCCTCCGTCTTTTGTGAAGGTTTACTTACTGTGAACATGTAAGTGGTGTGTGTGTGAGAGAGACAGACAGTGTTTGTGCTGGGATACTCCTGTGTTTTGGTACTTTGACAATACATTTATTATATATGTATATGTAGTGTTTGGCTATTCTAGTGACATAATTCTACATCAGAGACTTTGGTACCATTTGAGTATAATTTAGCTGCTATTGGTATGTGGAAAATAGTTGTAAATACAGAAGTGGATGAAAGAAATAAAAGTGAAATGGCATTCATTGCTTCTCAGTTGAGCTTGGCTCATAATGTATGTTTCTTAAGATTTTTTTTTTTTTTTTTTGGGTCCGGTCGTGGGGCCTGAACTCTGGGCCTGGGCGCTGTCCCTCAGCTCTTCAGCTCAAGGCTAGCACTCTACCACTTGAGCTACAGCACCACTTCCAGCTTTTTTTCTTTTTGCTTATATGGTGCTGAGGAATCGAACCCAGGGCCTCAGGCTTGCAAGGCAAGCGCTCTACCACTGAGCCACCTTCCCAGCCCTGTTTCTTAAGATTTTGAGGAGATAATTTCTAGGTTTACAAAAACTACAGTTATTTTGGAGTAGGACAATACCCAGCTGGAGGTGTAGTTATTAATCTTTTGGACAAAAATACAAATGAGTAAGTGAGCAACTTGTAGAACAGGAATCAGATATAGTGTAATGATTAAGATTAAAACTTAGAGTCACCGTAGACTGTTTGCCAAAAACCCTAATCGTGTTCTATATACAACGTAAACATCAAATATTACCTCTTTGAGAAAAACATTAGAAATAGCATAATTTTAACCTCTACTGTGAATCACACATGTCTATATCTTGTACTATTATTCTGTGATCATTTTCATGTCTGAAAAATAAATTGGAACAAAATGTTCATCAATTGATCAAGGACCCCAAGACTTAGTATTGCAAAGAGAGAGGGCCAGCTTCATTTAACTTCACTTGGTAAATGGAAACCTGAGACATTTACCCAAATAGCACATGTGTTTTAAAATATTTGGGGGGCTGGGAAGGTGGCTCAGTGGTAGAGTGCTTACCTCGCATGCATGTGGCCCTGAGTTCAATTCCTCAGCACACATAAGCAGAAAAAGCCGGAAGTGGCGCTGTGGCTCAAGTGGTAGAGCGCTAGCCTTGAGCTGAAGAGCTCAGGGACAGCACCCAAGCCCAGAGTTCAGGCCCATGACCAACAAAAAATAAATAAAATAAAATAAAATATTTGATTAGATTTGTAAATGGCAGTCCGTGTGTGTGTGTGTGTGTGTGTGTGTGTGTGTGTGTGTGTGTGTACGTGTACACGTACGTGCACGTGTTCTAGTACGTGTTCTAGTTGAACTCAGATAACTAAGATATTGGGGGCAGCCAGTCACCAGTGTCTCATGCCTATAATCCTTGTTGAGTTCTGAGGAGTGGGGTTTGAAGCCATCCTGGGCAGGAAAGTCCATGAGACTGTTACCTTCAGTTAAAAAAGCTAAAAGTGGAGTTGTGGCTCAAATGGTAGACCACTAGCTTTGAGCAAAAGAAGCTCAGGGACAGTGCCTAGGCCCTGAGTTCAATCAATCCCCAGGACTGGAAGAAAAAGAAAAGGAGATATTGGGGCAGCCTTGCACTCTTTGCTCACACTTGTAATCCTAGTTTCTCAGGAGGCTGCGTCTGAGGCTCATACTTCAAAGCCAGCCCTAGCTGGCTCTTTGGTTCTGATCTCCAATTAACAAAAAAGCCAGAAGTGGGGGCATGGGTCACATGATACAGCATAGCCTTAAATGAAAAAGCCAAGTCTAGAGCATGAGACCCTGAGTTCAGGCCCCAGTACTAGTTCAAGGGAACTGAGTGGGGGCCTTCTTAATGTTTTTAGATAAGGTAACATAAAGGGTGTTGCTCATCTAGGGGATAGAATATAGGGATGGTTAGTGTCATCAGAATTTAGGGCTGAGTTTTTACTCTGGCTAATGGTTGTATTTTGCTTTATGAGGTTAGACCTCACCTAGCTTTTTCAAGTATGAAACTGACATTTGCTTTTGGTTAACTTGCCATTGCTTTAAACGTGGGATGTCCCAAGCCAAACCCTCTTCTCTCCAAGCCATGGGCCATCAATTCTCCCAGACTGGCAGCATTGGCATTTCTGACCTCTTACTCCCTTCTCTTCTCACCAGAAATTTCTTTCCGTGTCTGTCCTTTCAGCTACATGCTTCAGTTCATTGCCAGCAAAATCTTAGTTCTTCCGAGAACCTTTAGTTACTTTATTTAATCACTTGAAAAATCCCCTTTCTCAGAGTACTTAATATTTATTATCTTACTCATCTTGGCACTTAACCCCAGCTGCATAACTCAGTGTTTATTTTGCCTCTCCAGGTTGCTGGCGAGCCCGGTGGGGAGGGTGACTTTGCACCCCCCCTGGTGCTGGCGTGGTAGGCCCCCAGTGACCACTTCTTGGAATGGGATGGTTAGAATGCAGTCAAGCTGATGAGCTGGCTATCTTGTACCTCTTGCTAAAAGTGGTTTTCATTCTTTGTAGGTTTCATGTGGACAAAATCTCTTCAGCTCATGTATACCTTCGATTACATAAGGTAATAATTCAAACATGGATTCATGATTTTCTTTAATGATGAGAACAATATCTTGATTTTTTTTCTTCAATTAAGTTGCTTAAAATAATAAGTATACTCAGAAATTCAGAAAGTCATTGGAAAATTCTGGGTGATTTCTGGGATTTAGAAAGGGGCACAGTACACCTTAGCCACATAGCAGCTCTGCCTTGTCCTGCTTGTTCAAGTGTATCATTTATCTCCTCTACTTTTTCTCCCAGTTCAGACTTCTCTGATGGTTCCTTTTTCTCAGCCTCATGCCATTCTCCTACTCACCGAGGGCAGATGTTTCCAGTTATCAGGGCCTTTGTTGAGCAGTCTGAAACAGCATGACAATAATAAAGATCAAGTGTTCCCTCTAATACAGTACTGCTGTTCTTCCAATTTGACTGTAGTCATCTGTTTTATATAGTTAAATCACAGGACATTTATACTTGTATACTTGTTATGTGTACTTTTTTCTTTTTAGAAACTTTATTTTGGAATAATTTTAGATTTGCAGGAAAGTTATAAAAAGAACATTAACTGTTAACATGTTATGTTACTATGGTAGCTTTGTCAAAACTAAGAAGCCAATTGTAATACATTACTATTAGCTTCACTCTGGACTTTATTTGAACTTCAGCAGTTTTCCCATGAATGTCCTTCTCTTCCAAGATCCATACTGTGTTTAGTTGTATCTGCCCTTGCCTCCTGTGGTCTGTTACTTCTGGAGTCTGGGGCATACATACTCCTGAATGCATCTGGAAGGAAGCGTGTGTCTATCTCCCACTCACTTGCATGAGTATGGATTCATCTCTGCTTTCTGCTTTGGGCACTATGCTGTATTTTTGCTCCTGTTACCCCAGCTTTGGTTGGAATTTGTTCAGCCCTTTCAGCTTGGCTCCTGTCTTCCTTTGGTACATGTCCATTTGTTTGGTTTTTGAGCACGTTCTTACTTTCTGACCCTATAAGGTACTTATGTCATCCTTGCCCCAGCCGGAGAATCTTGTTTTCCAAAGAATCTAGTTGATCTTCTTGGTAGGAAGGTAATTGAAAGTCAGAATCTGGATTCTGGATATACCTGCAGCCATTGGAGTATCAATATGTGTAAGCCCTCTCAGCTCAGCTAGGAAATCCCTAACCAAGCAGAACGTCCCTAACCTGAAAATGCAAAATCTGAAATGCTCCAGATTCTGAAACTATTTCAGCCCTGATGTGACATGATGTGGAATGTTCCATGCCTGAGTGCACGTGACAGATCACAGTCAAAACACAGTACATGAAACATACTGTATAACAATGCCAGCAGGTTATATGTATAACATGTATGAAGCAGTAAATGAATTTCGTGTTTAGACCCGATTCCCAACCCAAAATAGTCAGTGTATAAACAGATCTTCCAGATCTCCCCCCAGTAGCCCAAGAATAATCTGGTATCTAAGACACCTTTCAGTTAAGGGTTATTCAACTTGTACTAGTTTATGGATACTGATCCATGTATGCACACATACCTGTATTTGTTTTTGTGTTTCTCCATCTTGACTTCATCACGTAGAACTTGAGTACTGGTATCTCTGCATGAGGCCTATTCTGCCTTTCTCTTGTCTCTTCCTCTGCCACTGGGAAAAGCTTACTATTACTACTTCTTACTTCCTAGTTTCTTGCTCCATTCCAGCTTATGTGTAGCTGGTGTTAGAATTATTAGCTGAGATGCCATTAGAGCTCTAGAGAGCTAGAGTGCCGCGATGGTATACAGTCGTTTTTGTCTTTTACTCTGTGGCTGTTAGTCAGAACATTACTTTCCAAAATTAACTATAAGCTGCCTTCTCTTCCCTTTTCCCCCTTTGGTGATAGGATGTCCTGTATTTTTGTATCACAATGAGATTATTTTATGTCAGTCTGCATCCATCTTATCATCACCTGGTTGATTGTCTTACTTTTTTGAAATGTCCATGTCTATACTTTTTTGAGGTACAAGATTATTTTTGTATTTATTATTTTACTTACTACATTATGCTGATAAGATACTACAATGACTATGGAAACTCCTTTATCAGGAGGTTGTTTACAGTTTTTTAGCATTATAAATTCCAACAAAACAGTTTGAGGCCAGGGCATTATATTGTCCAGGCTGCTCTTGAGCGCCTAGGCTCTTCTTGCCTCAGCTTCCAAGTGGGCTATATGTGGCACTGTACCCAGTTTGGGATTCCTTTCCTTCCCCTTCCCTCCCCTCCCCTTCCCACCTTTTTCCTTTTCTGCCACTAGTACTAGGACTTGAACTCAGGGTCCTGTGCTCTTGTTGGTCTTTTTTGCTCAAGGCTGTACTGGTGCTCTGCCACTTTAGCTACACCTCCAGTTCTGGCTTGTTGTTAGTTAATTGGAGATAATACTACTTAGGCTTCATCTGCCGGGTCTGACCTCAAGCCAAGATCATCACATCTCAGCCTCTTGAGTAGCAAGGATTATAGGCAGGAGCCATTGTTGCACAGCTAGATTATTTTCTTACAGTAATACTTAGAAATGCTATTATCTATGTTTTTAAAAGTTTTTCGTATGATTTAAAAATACATGGTGTTATTTAATATGGCTAAACCATGCATCCCATCCTTACTTGTATTATGGATCGGTCAGTGAAGAAGTGGTGGATATGAATTCCATGTTGGAGCTAACTCCTAAGTTCTGAGCAACCTTTTGCCATTTTGGAGAGAATAACTATAGAGAAAATCAAGTATGGACTAAGTTTCCTTTTGGTATTCTTTCTTTTCCTCTGGAATCTATTGTGTCATGGTGGAAATAATGTTGTCCATCCCGACTTCCAGTTACTATTACATACTTTGAGTAGAAGTTCAGTTTCTTTTAGAAGTACAATTTGTACTCAGTTTTGAATTGTGCTTTGTGTGGGACTTTCATCCGGCATTACAGGATTATCCTTTTGTACTTGGTAAGTACCAAATGAGTTGAGCTGCATGCAGCAAAACCAAACATTTCAGACCCACTCTGGGCCAGCTGCTGGGTTTGAACCCTGGCTCTGCTGCTTACTAGCTGCTGGCCTTGAGCACATTACTCTGCGTATTTCGCCTCTGTGGAAGAGGCCAGCTACATGTCTTGGTGGGCCATTGTGAGCACAGAAGGAGCAAGCTCAGGCTTAACTAGAGTAATGCTGGAATGTGCTGCCCACTATGTGCGCTCATGTGTTTTGAAATGTTTTTGGTGTTTTAGAGTCATTTCTGTTATTCTTCTTCAATTTGATAGATTTCTACAGAGAAAAAGGATCAAGATTATCTCTTGATATTTCTCTCTTACACTGGAAGGATGAGATCTAGCATAAGAAGAGCTTTGCTTCCGATCATAGTTGAGGGTCGATAACTGGTCAGATGTTTGAGACTCAGAATAACTGAATTGTCCGTGTTTATCTGTTTGTTTGTTGGGGAGCTGGGGATTGAACTTAAGCCTTGCACATGCTAGGCACATGCTTTTCCACCCAGCTACACTCTAGTCCTCTACCAAGTTTCCTCTCAGTCAGGGAGACTTTGAGTTCTTAAAAGTAGATACGTGCCATTTCCTCACAAAGTTTCTAAAAACAAGAATAAGAAAGCGCTGGTGGCTCATACCTTGCTGCTAAGAAGGCTGAGATCAGAGGATTGCAGTTCAAACCTAGCCTAGGCAGGAAACTCCCAATTAACCACCCAAAAAAAAAAAAAAGCCTAGAAATGGAGCTGTGGCTTAGGTGGTAGAGTGCTAGCCTTGAGCAAAAAAGCCCAGGGACCGGCTTAATTACAGGTGATATTTCTGGTATAATTATAGTTACCCTTTTTTCACTTTTTATCAGTGTTTTCTATATTACTGCCTTCTCATAGTTTAAATAACATCTCCATGATAGACACAGTACATTTATTTCATTTTTCAGTGTTCTGTAATAGAACTGAAGAGCCCTGCTTGTTATACCCTCATGCCAGCAGGTAAGGCAGCAAGTGCCCTTTGCTACTGAGTGTTTCAGTGTCAGGCAGTAGCAAGATTGTGGACCCTCTGATTTATTTGTGTGTTTCAGGGGGAGAATATAGAAGATATTCCAAAGGAGGTGCTAATGGACTGTGCCCACCTTGTGAAGGCCAACAGCATTCAAGGTCAGTTTCTTACAGGATTTTCAAGATCGGCAGACTGCTTGCCTCCTTCCTTCCCTCCTTCCCTCCCTCCCTCCCTCCCTTCCTTCTTCCCTTCCTTCCCTCCTTCCCTCTCTCTTCCTCTATCCCTCCCTTTCTCCCTTTTTTTCCCCTTTCTCCCTTGGTCCCTACATCCCTCTTTCCCTTCCTTCCCTTCCTTCCTGCCTATCTTTTTATCTTTCTTGGTTAAAACGTAACTGATTCCTAAAAAGCTGGAGATTGGATTTAAGTGTTGATTATGATTTCTAAGTGTTATCCTAACTTCAGTCCATTAAACCACGTGGATAACAAGTACTGACTTTTTTTTTTTTTTTTTGCTCCAGGCTAGCACTCTACCACTTTGAGCCACAACTCCATTTTGGGTGGTTAATTAGCGATAAGAGTCTCACAGAGACTTTTCTGCCTGGGCTGGCTTCAAACTGCAATCCTCAGATCTCAGCCTTCACAGTAGCTAGGATTACAGTGTGAGCCACCAGTGCAACCTGACTCTTTATTCTGAAATGAATCGCATTTTAGAAGACTTGTTGGCTTTGGCTTGAATCAAAGGAATTGCAGCTAATATCTTTAAGGTGGATGGCAGTTTTGCTATCTGTCAAAAAAACAAAAATTCTCCCCTCTCTCTAATTATTATGGTACTTCTTTTCCTTAACTTGAATGGAAGGTTGTCTAGATTTGCCTACACTTAAGGTTATTTGTAAACAGTCTTAGAAATTTGTCAGTGTTGATAGCTAAAGAGAGATGACTTTATTTTTTTTTTTTTGTCAAGATACTATACAGAGGGTTACAGTTACATGAGTGAGGTAATGAGTACACTTCCTATTGAGCATTGTTATCCCCTCCATTGTTTTCCCCCTACCATCCTTTCCCTCCCTACCTTCCCCGAGGGTCTTTTTTTTGATTGTGATTAAGTGATTACGTAATTTCCCAAATTTCACAGTATTGTGGAATAATGATGCTCCTTTAAAGTCACAAGTTCATTCTAACTTTCCTGGAGCAAATTGTCTATCACAGTCTATAACATATATCGGTGTACACATGTTATATACCATACATGTGATCAGCAGCATAGGGATATTTAGTAGTGGTTCGACCAGATGAGTGGGAGTTCTTTGTTTCTTAAGTCCTGTTAGTTTTGTCGTATCACCTAACATTTTGGATTTAGCATCCACTTATCAGGGAGACCATGTACCGTTTGTCTCTTTGCTCTTGGCTTACCTCGCTCAACATGATTCCTTCTAGCTCCATCCATTTCCCTGCAAATGCCATTATTGTGATGACTTTATTTTTAATGTTGATGTCTATTTGGTTTGTTTGGGACAGATTCTCTCAACCTATTCCAGGCTTACCTTGAACTTGCCTTACATATTCTCTTGAGTGCTAGAATTACAAGTTTTTCCTCTCCTTTTCTTTTCATATACTGTTTTTTCCCTTTAAGTTGTAAAGTTATCAAGGTCTCTTCTCCCTGAGAATCTTTTTTTTTGGGGGGTCCGGTCTTGGGACTTGAACTCTGGGCCTGGGCACTGTCCCTCAGCTCTTCAGCTCAAGGCTAGCGCTCTACCACTTGAGCCACAGTGCCACTTCCAGCTTTTTTTTCTTTTTGCTTATGTGGTGCTGAGGAATTGAACTCAGGGCCTCAGGCATGCAAGGCAAGCACTCTACCACTGAGCCACCTTCCCATCCCCTTCCCTGAGAATCTTATTTAGTTGATTGTGTGTTGATCTGTGAATATCACTAGTTTCAGAAAGTTTTCCAGGTGATTCTCAAGTGCAGTGTGGGCTGAGAATAGTTAGCTTAAATGTCTTAGGCAGTACCTGGAGTACTATTTGGTGCTTGTCATTTCTGCTGTGTAAGATTTAGTCTACCAGTGAAGGCCAAAAGAGATGAGGGGAGTTTGGAAGTGATGGTCTGTTACGATAAATGGAGCTAATAGGTCAGTGTTAGAGGTTGGACCTAGACTTACATAGGGTCGAGATCATTTTGGTTTGATGTGAAGTTGAAGGATGATTTAAGGGTTGACAAAAAGTAGAAAATAAACATGGGCCAGGCACAGACCTGGTACCCAGTTGGAGGTTGCAGGGTAAGAGCTGGCAGCGGTCCTTCTTCCCTGTCTCTTAAAGACACTGGTTCCTTCATCTTCACTCAGGAAGCCTTAGTAACGAGTCAGGTTCAAGGCCAGGAAGGCAGAGGTCTTGCCTTATGGAGCCACCCATTTTCCACTCCATAAATCGCCAGGTTGTAATGAGGTTGGTGTCATTCTCTTTTATAAATAGGATAAGTTCTCTTAGCTCTTCAGTTATTGACATAAAAATTGAGATAATCATTATCCTTTTGCCACTGTGTTCCATCCTCCTCCACATAGCTTTGTTCCTCCCTGTGTCCAAAGAACTTTGGGCTCTTCATCCTGTGCCCTGTGTCCTCTTAATCTCTTCACAGTTTACTAGTTCTAGAGAAAACAGAAGCTGGGGGAAGAGTCTTAAATCTGAATTGCCCCCTCTGTCCTCTTCAGCCGTTGCACAGCACAAGGAGTGGAGCCTGGGCTTCAGCTCTTCGACTCTGATGCGGAGCCTGGGGACGCAGGACAGCAGTCTCTGCTGAGAACTACAGAGGGGCGGTCCACGCCTTGTACTTAGAAAAATTCCCTCCGTGCTTAACACCGAGAGAACAGAGATTGAATTTGTTTGTTGTCATGGAATTAACCTGTTCCTGGTCTTAAGTGTAGAATTGTAGGTTAGCCTGATCTATATCAGCTGAGGAACATTGCCAGACAGAACTAACTCGCTGAACGTTGAGAAGACTCTGTATCACCCTTCCCTGCAGAGTGCACAGATTTTAAGCTAGCACCTAAGCATCTCTAGCCTGACTCAAAACTTGTGTCCCTTCTCATAGTTCATTCTGGCCAAAGCAAGTCGTTGCTGTTTCTGATTGTGTGCCCTTGCTTACATTGTTCCTTGTGCTTTCAATTCTGTCTTCCTCAGTTATTACCTGAGCTGATCAGAGATAAGGTTCATAAGACAGAATAGTAATCGATAACACTGGAGTATTAGTAGTTACCTGCCTGTTCCTTCATAAACTCTTGAGTTAATATTATTTTCATTTGATGGATGAGAAAACTGAGCTTAAGGATTAAGGAACTTGCCCTAGGCCTCAGAGCTGTGGAATTGTGGTCCAGGCCAGATCTGAAGTGAAACCATCTGACTGTGAAGTCTTCTGTTTTCACCTGGAGCTCTACGCACCTCTCCAGGGATGCTTCCCCTTCCCCGAACTTCCTCAGCGCCTGGCCTGTACCATCCCAACAGTTGTTGATGCCGTCCTTTTTATAAACCGGTTATTATTTGTGTATTTACCACAGTGCCTTGCACATGGAGATTATTTTTTAAAGAACTGTTCATTTTAACTTAAACTTTTTAAGCCTACAGAAAAAAATGTAGCTTTCACTTAATATTAACAATTTAAATTTTTTCATATTTATTTGCTTTTTGTACATGTCACTGTTAACCGTTTTAGTTGAATCATCTGTAGGAAGTGGATACTGAGCCTTCAGCATCTGTCTCCTAAGAACATTTCTTGTTTCTATTTCTTGGAGGTCTTTTTTTTCTTTTTGCCAGTTGTGGGCCTTGAACTCAGGGCCTGGGCACTGTCCCTGAGTTTCTTTTGCTCAAGGTTAGCACGCTACCACTTGAGCCACAGCACCACATCAGGCTGCTGTTTATGTGGTACTGAGGAATCATACCCAGGGCTTCATGCATGCTAGACAAGCACTCTACTACTAAGCTACATTTCCAGCCCTCCTTGGAGTTCATTTTGATAAACATCATTTTATATGATCGTATGCACATAGCTATTGAGCCTTTGTGATCCTCTCCTAAGGATATCCTCCTTTGGTCTTACTGTGTGAATGTTAGTCTTGTTTACTTTATCATGTCCAAGTGTAATTTTTTTGTCTTTTACCACCCAGTGTCTTTTACTTGTGGATTTATAGGCACATGTTCTTATCCAGGATTGGTGAATTTTGGTTTTTGTGACATAGGGTCTTGCTGTGTAGTTCAGATCACCCCCACACTCATGACCCTCCTTCATGTGTGTTTTTCCTTGTCACAGCTCTTTGGTATCTGATCTGGATGTGCTGCTTTAACTATCAGGACATTAATTTTTAAAGGGTACAGGTCAGGAGAGGAGTATCCACAGTCTGGGTTTGTCTGCACCTTTTCTTCTTGACTAGAGTCGCTATGCATTTTTCAGCAGAAAACTGCAGAAGTGAGGTTTCCGTCACTCCAGTTAGGCAGCACAGGACACGACTGAGGTGGAGTGCTCTGGCTTCTCCAGTATATGGGGACCATAGCTGTTTCACGTGGAAGGGCGGTGCAGCACACCAGACTAGCAGTACACCTGTGATTCTCAGCTGCTGGGAGGCTGAGGGAAAACCGCGCGGTGAGCTTGTTACAGTGAGAGGAGAGGACACAGCAGGTGAACAGTGTGCCTGGCAACCTCTCGTCTAGCCTGTGAGAGCTGTGATGACCTTTTTTTTTTTATTTTTTTATTGTGATTAAGTGATTACATAATTTCCCAAATTTCACAATATTGTGGGATAGTGATGCTCATTTAAAGTCACAAACTCATTCTAACTTTCCTGGAGCAAATTGTCTATCACGGTCTATAAGATATAACGGTGTACACATATATACCATACATGCGATCAGCAGCATGGGGTTATTTAGTAGTGGTTCGACCAGATGAGTGGAAGTTCTTTGTTTCTTAAGTCCTGCTAATTTTGTCATATCACCTAACATTTTGGATTTAACATCCACTTATCAGGGAGACCATGTACCGTTTGTCTCTTTGCTCTTGGTTTACCTCGCTCAACATGATTTCTTCTAGCTCCAACCATTTCCCTGCAAATGCCATTATTTTGTCATTTCTAATGGCTGCATAATATTCCATTGTGTATAGATACCACAATTTTTGGA